CTCCTTCAGCTGCGCCTTCCGAAGCTTGGAGGCTCGCTTCTGCGCCTCCGGCAGGGCGGCCGCTCCTTCTTCTGCTGCCCGAGGACGTGCTGCTGGCAGTTACCCGCCTCAGCCTGGGCAGCTCGCGCCGCCTTCTCGCCGGTAGCCTGGTGCCGCCTTGACGGCGTTTTGGCCTCAGCCCCAAAGCCAGCCCGCCGGTCTCGAGCTCCCGCTCCTGAGGCTCAGCCCTCAACCTCAGCCCCGACGCCAGCGGCGGCGTCCGGTGCTGTCGTCGCCTCTGCCTGTGGCTGCTGCCGCAGGGCTGAGTCCTGCGCGCGCTCCCGGGTCTGACGGCTGACCAGGCAGGCAGTACGGACGGTGGCAGAGCGCTCCCGGCTGCGGCAGTAGGCCTGTCAGCAGGCAGAAGGGGTGGTGGATGTGGGAGCCGGGGCTGCAGGTGGCTGGAGAGGGCCCGGGCTCATCTCTGGCGGGTAGGGGTCGTCACGGAGGCTGTCAGAGCCCGGCAGCCGGTGGACGATGGAGCTGTGGGAGATGACGGCGTGCTCGCCCTCCCGCATCGCGGCCGTGTCCCGGGCTTCAGGGCCTGTGCCTCCTTGTCAGAGGTGTCTGCCAGGCTGTTGACTGAGCTGCTCTGGCTGGAGGGCTCTCTAGACCGGCCCGTGTCTCGGCCTGCTGCATGGAGGGCTTGGCCTCCTCCTCTGGGGCCTCAGCGCCAGGGCCACTGGGCGCCTTTTGCAACAGTATCTTCTTCATCTTGCAGTACTGCACGTTGTCCGGCTCCCGGACAGCATCCTTGGTTCTCTGGATTAAGTCCATGATGACTGCGGGTGGCTGCTCCCGGAGCACAAAGCGGTGCTTCAGAAGAACCTCTGAGGTTGGTCTGTCTCGAGGGATTTTCTGAAGGCAGGAGTCGACACAATTCCGGAGGTACTCAGACCAGTGTCCTGACCGGAGCACCGGGGACTCACTCTCTGCAATGTGGTATGAGGCACTCATCGCATTCATGCGAAACAGCGGTGGTTTCCATTCCGCCAGCTCGGTGCAGGTGATACCTAAGGACCGAGACATCCACCTTGCCATCGTCCTGCCCCCTCATCCATTGCCAGGATCACCTCTGGAGCCATCCAGTACGGGGCGCCCACGAAGGAGTTGGCAGGTGCCATGACGGGTGCAGAGCCGAAGTCCCCCAGTTTCACCAGGCCTGGCTCTGACAGCAGAATGTTTCCAGCCTCACATCCCTACGGATCACGTTGTGGGAGTGCACATAAGCCCGGCCGTGAGGGGCCCCGTGGTTCCCAGCTGCAATCTCCACCTCCTGAAGGGGCTTCTTGTGCACTTCTAGGAGGTCAGAAGCTGAGCCCAGGCGATACTCCACCACCACCCAAGCCACGTGCCTCCTCAGGTAACAGCCCCGGTACTGAATGGCATCGGGATGCCGGAACTTCTGCAGGAACCGCACCTCCTTGACGATGTCCTGCCGTTTCTCATTTGACTGCTTCCCACTGTAGGACACCTTCTTGAGGGCCACCACCCCACTATTCCGGACACTCCCGGCAAAGTACACGGCTCCAAAGCTGCCGTGGCCAATTTCCCGGAGGTCACGGAAGAGCTTTTCCGGGTCGTTCTTGAAGAAGAGCTCAGCCACGTCGGGGTCCTTCAGGCTCCCGGCCCGGCATGGTGGCCCCTGGGGGTCCTGAGAGTGGGGCTTGACCTGCTAGGGGTCACTCTGGTGCCCAGGGTCTCCACCTCCTCCTGGGGTCCGCCAACGGCTCTGCCAAGCAGGGTGAGGGCCAAGGAGACCTTTCCCCTTGCCGCCTCTTCCCCCATCCTCCCGCCCCTTCCTGAGGGGTCCCTCCTCTAGGGCGCTGGTTGCTGAATCCCGGATTTCTGATTGTGGGGTCTGAACCCCAGATATTTGAACGCGGGGGGGAGGCCGAATCTGATATTTGAACTCATGGGGAATGAACCCCGGATACTGGTGCACGCAGGGTCCTGAACCCCAGAAACAGAGCCCCAGGTTTAGAGAGGAGTCCCAGATATCTGGAATCTCAGGAGCTGAGACCCGGATATTTCAGAAGCGTGGGGTCAGGCCCGGAAATTCGGGACAGAGGGGACTGAGCCCCAGGTTTTTGGCCACTGATAGGGGGCCTACCCGGAGGATTCCGACGGCACAGCCCCTCTCACACCGGAGTCCGGGGGTGAGAGCCCCCACTCCCACCCCGGCCCCCTCCCTTTCCCTTTCTCTCTCCCCAGGGCAGCTGAAAGATTGTACGTAGCTGAGGGCGGTCCCAATGCCCTCTGCCCCTCTCCTCTTCTCAGTCTCCGCCTCTCTCCTCACCACAGCCCCCCCGTCTCGTCCCAGTGTCCCTCTCCCTTTTCCTCCCAATTCCAAGATGGACACAGGGCGGGAGCCTTTTCTAGGTTTTAAAATGCACACAGATTGTTTAAGAAAGAAACAAACCAAACCCATGAACGCATCCTGTGATTTCTCTCTACCCTCCTGGGGTAACCACACCGGTGCCCTCCAGAGCTGTATCATCTTTTAAATACTTGCCAAGTGATGGGCTCAAGGATTTCATTGTTATTTTAATTTGCATGCCTGTATTCTAAGGAGGTGGAGCTTTGCGCCGAGCATTCATTATTCATATTTCTTCTTTTGTGTACTTCTGGTTCTTACCCTTTGCCCCTTTCCCACCTAGGGGGGATTTAGTCTTTTTCTTACTGATTTTGTTTTTTAAAGAAGATGTTGGGGGTAGGAGTTTATTAATTAATTAATTAATTATTGCTGTGTTGGGTCTTCGTTTCTGTGCGAGGGCTTTCTCTAGTTGTGGCAAGCGGGGGCCACTCTTCATCGCGGTGCGCGGGCCTCTCACTATCGCGGCCTCTCTTGTTGCAGAGCACAGGCTCCAGACACGCAGGCTCGGTAGTTGTGGTTCACGGGCCTAGTTGCTCCGAGGCATGTGGGATCCTCCCAGACCAGGGCTCGAACCTGTGTCCCCTGCATTAGCAGGCAGATTCTCAACCACTGCGCCACCAGGGAAGCCCCTCTTACTGATTTTTAAAAAAAATTAATTAATTTATTTGGCTGCCTCAGGTCTTTTCGTTGTGGCACGCAGGAACTTCGTTGCGGCATGCAGGCTTCTCTAGTTGTGGTGCATGGGCTCCAGAGCGCGTGGGCTCCGCAATTGTGGCAGGCGGGCTTAGTTGCCCTGCTGCATCTTAGTTCCCGGACCAGGGCTTGAACCTGTGTCCCCTGCATTGGCAGGTGGATTCTTAACCACTGTGCCACTAGGGAGGTCCCTCTTACTGATTTTTTTCTTTTTTTTAAAACATCTTTATTGGAGTATAATTGCTTTACAATGGTGTGTTAGTTTCTGCTTTATAATCTCTCTCTTACTGATTTTTAAGAGCTCTATGGGAGGCAGAGTTATGGGCCCCATGACCTCCCCCTCCCCATCATGCTTGTGGTTATGGTCAGTTAGATGGCAAAAGAGATTCTACAGATGTAATTAAGCGTACTAATATAGCTCACGGGCTCAGCCGCTCCGCGGCATGTGGGATCTTCTGGGACTGGGGCACGAACCTGTGTCCCTTGCATCGGCAGGCGGACTCTCAACCACTGCGCCACCAGGGAAGCCCTAATCAGCTGATTTTAAACTAAGGAGATTATCCTGGATTATCCCATGTGTCCAGTGTAATCACATGAGCCCTTACAAGCAAAGAGATGCTGCAGAGGGGGAGGTCAGAAGGATTGGAAGCACCTTGCTGCATCTTGAAGCATCTCATTCAAAGCATGGGAGGATTCAGTGCTCTCTTCCTGGCTCCGATGATGGAGGGGGCCATAAATAAAGAAATGCAGTAGCCTCTAGGAGCCGAGAATGACCCCCAGCCAACATCCAGCAAGAAATGGGTACCTCAGGGTGCCACAGTGGTTAAGAATCCGCCTGCCACTTCCGGGGACACGGGTTTGAGCCCTGGTCCAGGAAGATCCTACATGCCATGGAGCAACTAAGCCTGTGCACCACAACTACTGAGCCCACGCTCCAGAACTACTGAAGTTCACGCGCCTAGAGCCCGTGCTCCACAACAAGAGAAGCCACCGCAAGGAGAAGTCCGTGCGCCACAAGGAACAGCAGCCCCTGCTCACCGCAGCTAGAGAAAGCCCGTGCGCAGCAACGAAGACCCAACGCAGCCAAAAATAAATAAATAAAATAAATAAATTTATAAAAAAGAGAAGAAATGGGTACCTCAGTCCTAGCCCCATGGCAGTGAATCTGCCACCCACCTGGAAGAGCCTGGCCCAGGTGGGCTGAAACCTTGACTTTGGCCTCCTGAGGCCTTGAGATGAGAACCCTGCCCAGCCACTGGACTTCTGACCTCCAGGACTTAGAGGTAATAAGTGGGAGTTGTTTTAAGCTAAATTTGTGGTATTGTGTCACTGCAGCAATAGAAAAAAAGCTCTTTACATATTAATGTTGGAAATACTTTTTATATATAGTGTAAATATTTTTTTCAAATGTATCACTTGTCATTATAAACTTTACCCTCAATTATACTTAACCTCCCTAATTTCATTATCAGAGGGTAAATTCAAATTCCATTTTGGGGGATGACCTTTGGCGTCACTCCCATGTACCCAAAAGTCACATGCAAAACACAGATTCCTGGGCCCTGCCCCGAGTTTCCGATTCAGCGGGTCTGAGGGGGCCCAAGAATGTGCATTTCTAACCCGCGCCCACGTGATGCTGACGGAGCTGGCCGGGGACCACCCTTTGACAGAGAAGGCCTTCCTTAGAAGGCCTTAGAGCCCCGCCCTGATGGAAGGAGGCTGAGCCCCACCCACCAGGAGGCGTGGCCGGCTAAGCCCCCGCCTCCAAGAGCAAGATCTCCGTCTTCATTGGCTGGTAGGAAGGAGCGTCCCGTACATCACAGGGCTGTCCCCGCCTCCCCCCGAGCCCCGGGGGCGGGGGCATTGCGCCTGCGCAGTGGAGCTCGGCGCTCGCGTCTTGTGCTTCTGTGAGGTCTGGGTGGCCGGCTGTGACCCCATGGCGGACCCCCGGGAGGAATCGGAGCCCCTTCTGAGCCGGACCCGCGGCGGCAGTGCCCGCCATTTCCCGGCGGGCGTATCCTCCTGTCACAGCGTCCAAGTCGGCCCTGGTGAGCCGCGGCCTGGGGAGGGGCCGGGCCGCGCAGGGGTGGCGCGTGGGGTCCCGCCGGCCCGCGCCGCGTCACTGCTGTCCCTGCGGGCGCGCCCCGCTCCCCCGGCCGGGGTCCGAGCGGGCCCGGGCGGCGCGGCGCGCCAGGGAGCCGCCTTCCCGAGGGCGGGGCGGCTGCGCCGTGCGGACCCCGGCCCCGGCCAGGGCGCGGGCTTCAGCCAGATTCTGCGGGGTCGCGCCCTGCCCCCGACCGATCGGGCTGAGACGCCTCGCTCAGCCCAAGGGCAGCCAGCCCCCTGCAGCCCCCACGGTTCGCCCGGGGCCTCGTGCTTTCCGTGGATCGCCTTGGTGATTCCTAGGAGGAAGCACTTCCGTTTTCCCCAGTTCTTACGGGGAAAGTGAGGCACAGAGAGGGGCGTTCCCCTACTCAAGGGCTCACAGCCAGGAAGTGGCCGAGGTGGGATTCGAACCCAGCTGGGAGTGAATTGTGAGGCAACTCCTTCAGCGTCGGCTTGGGGCAGGCCTCCCCAGACCGGGGCGTCTTCCTTCCTTCCTTCTCTGCAGCTCCATCCTGCTCTTCCTGTTTACCCGCAGAGAGATTGCTGAAACCCAAGGAGGGCGGGGAGGGTGAAATCCTTCTGTCCCTGGCAGACCCCAAGGGCACTGGGTGCTGGGTTAGGGATGGAAGGGCCTCAGCCTCGTTTTGCAGAGGGGGAAACTGAGGCCCAGAGAGTGTCCAGGACCTGTCCAAGAACATAGACCTGGGATCTGTCTCAGCCGCTGCAGGCACCCACACTGGGTGCTCCTTCCAGGCCACCTTCTGTCTCTGGGCTCACTTTCCTCCTCTGTTGGGGAGGGGTCCGCAGTGTGTGCCTGTCCTGGGATTATTGGGGCGGGTCTCTGGCAGGAGATGGAAAACATGCCCACCTGCCCATCTCAGAGGCTGTCCTGGGAAAGTTCTCCGTCCAGTCCGTGCAAGACCTCCCGGGGCCCTGGACATGGTGGCATTCAGGGGATGCAGCCTTTGCGCCAGGAGGCCACTTCCCGGCTGTGTGACCTTGGCAGGTTGCCTAACCTTTCTGAGTCTCAATAAAAGGGGGGTGGTCGGGGCGTTGTGAGGATTCAGAGAGAGTCCAGGTGCCCGGCCAGGTGGCAGAGCTGGTGCACGTCAGTGCTGATGACCATTCTGGGCAGAGAACCCTGATCACTGCAGGTCCAGCCCCGGGAGAGTGCATGGAGGACAGGTGAGACTCACCCTAGGGACAGGAGCCGGGGCAGGCAGTGTGGCTGGTGAAGGGGGACCCTGGGGATGGCCGTGGCCTTGGTGGGGGCTTCGGAGAACATGGACAGGACACTCTGTGTTCTGGATTTCCCTGGTCAGGCTGTCCAGCCAGGCTCTGCAGACCCTCATTCAGTTTCTGCCCAGCTCCTGTGCGGGGCTCCTGGATGGGGTCCTGAGCTCAGGGTCCGCCTGTCCGCAGCTAGCTGGACTCTCCTACCAACCAGGGTGAGGGAGGGATGCTGCTGGGTGCTCCGTGGACCCCAGTGGGCCCGGTGGTCAGGTCCAGACCCAGCCCCACCTCTGGGCCGTGACCACAGGGTGGGGATAGTCATTTTCTCTTCCTGTTCCTGGTCAGGGAATTACCCTCTTACTGGTTATGGAAAAGTCAGAGGACAAGGGGTCACTGTGCCATAGCAGGGGCTTTGAGAATAACAATAATAGCAAATGTTTATGAAGAGCTTACCGTGCACAGCACTTCAGCTACAGTAACCCACTCCGCCTGCCCATCAGTCCTGTTGCGTAGGGCCCGCAGGAAGTGAGGCACAGAGAGGGTCAGGGGCTTGTCCAGGGTCACAGAGGCAGCTAGTCAGGACCCCACCCAGGTAGTGGGGAGTGGGCAGGGGCTGGAGCCAGAGCGGGAGGGGGGTTTATTCTGGGATGTTGGGGAGGGCAGGCTTGGGGCGGGGGGACCAGTGCAGGGCTGAGGTGTTCGAGCCCCCATGTCCTCTGTGCTCCGACATTCTACAGTGGTTGGGGGGGGTGCTGACAGCTGATCGCCACCTGAGGCAATGAGTCCCTGGACGCCAAGCTGGGGCACAGCGCTCCCGGTAGGGCCGACAGCCTGGGAGGCTTTGGAGAGCTTGGCCTTGGCGGAGCCAAGTTCAGGGTGAGTGGCACGGAGGGCACAGGGTGGAGGAAGCAGCAGGGGAGGAGGCGGGCAGGCGGGCGGGGTGTGGACTTTCTCCTGGAGCAGTGGGGACCCACGGAAAGCTGTGGTTACCATCTGAGGGTTTGTGACAGGATCCCTCCGACCACCGCAGGGTGGGGAAGGGAGGCTGGTGTCGGGGCCGCAGAGCGGTGTGGGATGGCTTTCCTGAGGTTTGGTGCCTTGAGGGCCGGGTGGCCAGAGGGAGCCCCTTCCGCTGCACCCAGTCCTGGTCCTGGAGTGAGCTCTGGGGGCCCTGGCTGCCTGTCTCTGCTTATCCAGGAAGCTTGTCTCCTTGGACCTCTCCAGGCTGAGTCCCCTGAGTTCTCACCCAAGGATTTGGTGACATGGGGCCTCTTCCGGCCCCTCAGACCACCCTGCCCTCCCAGGCTCCCCTCGGCTGTTCACTCAGTCTATCAGTGGGACTTGTGGGCTGCTGTGTGCCGAGCCCCACGCTGTCCTGGGCTCTGTGGGTACAGCAGGCAACAAGACAGGGTGCCTGCACACCACAGCGTTCCCGGGCGCTGCCAGGGGAAGCAGGCGGTCACCGCCCTCAGAGCCTCTGTGGGAGAACTTTTTGGCCCCTCACGTGAGCGTGGTGGTCGTCCACGGGAGGAACCTGAGGCCCAGATGGGGGAGGGTGCTGTTCCTGGGTGACACAGCAAGGTGATGGCGGAGACAGGACAGAGTCCAGCCTCCTGTCTCTGTCCCCGGTGGGCACAGTCCCTGAGGACAGCGGCAGCTGCGTCCCTGGGGTCGGCAGGCGAGTGGGCAGGGCCCGGAGCTCCGCCCAGGTGCCTGGCCTCCCCCGCCTCTGGCCTCGACATCTCTGCATCTCTCGATACCGGTTAAGGGCGGTTTGGGCAGCTCCTGGGCTCAAGGGCAGATGTGAAAGTAGAATCTTCAACAGAAATGGTGACAGGCCTGTTCACTGCGTTTCCAAGCCTGGATCTGGGAGCTGCTGGGGGCTGTGTGCCGGCTCTGCCCCCCCGCTGGGGCCTGGGCTGCGCCGTCTCCGGGGCCTCTCTGGGGGGTCCTTTTTCCTGTGAGCTGCGGCTCCTCGTGCCTTTCTTGGCCCTTTACATCAGGCTTCTGTGCAAAGCTGCCCACCACGCGGGGCAGAACCCTAGGCCAAGGTGGCAGACCAGGGGTTTGAGCCATGGGACTTGTCCTAAAGGCCCCTCCTAGTCAGGAACCTGCACCACCCCAGCCTCCCTGGCCCCGAGGACCCCAGTCTCTGGTTGGTGAAGGTTTCCTCGCCTCCCACCCTCGGGGTGACTCGGGTGCGGTCGCCTGGCCCTGTGGGCCTGTGACACAAGCAGGGCGCCACGATGGCCTCAGAGGGTCCTTCTTCGTGCTGAGTGTTTGACGGAGGGTCACGCAGCGCCTCAAGCTTCTAGATATCATCTTCCTGTGGGAGCGTTAAATCTGTGGCCTTGTTTGGTGAGCGGGTAGGCCGGTAGCGCTGCCCCATCTTATAGTCGCGTAAGGGGGTGCAGCGTCCTGACGAAGGTCACCAGGAGGCTGGTGGTGGGACGGGGCAGAAGGGTGGCTGTGAGCACGTTCTGTGTGCCGGGCCGGCCCTGGGGGTCCTGCACTTGCATTGGGGGCCAAGCTGTGTGGCTGTTAACACCCCCATTTGACAGGGGGAGACGGGCACAGTGAGCTTAAGCCCACGGCCCTCAGCCTTTGAGCCAGTAGGTGCGCAGCCGGGGTCAGAGCCCCCTGAGCCTGGTTCCGTCCCACTGGCTGCTTTGTGCCCTCTGCCACTCCACCCCAGGGGGTGGGAACCGTGGGAGCTGCTGTTCCTCTGGGCCCGGAGCCCGTGCTTAGACCCTTCCCCACCTGGGGCCCAGCCCTCGGGGGTCCTGCCCTGTGGGCATGCACACACGCTGCGGGGCAAGAGGCGTCTCGTCCCAGAGCCTTGGAGAGGATGCAGCCGGGTTCTTGCCTTGCTCTCGGTGGCCCTGTAGCGGACGGGCGCCTCCCGAGGCCCCTCCCCACCCTACGTGTCCCCTCTGCCCGCAGGTGCCGTGGCCAGGCGGGATCTGTGCTTGGACCAGGCTGTGGTGTTCATCGAAGACGCCATCCAGGTGGGCGGCGCCTGCTCCCGGCGGCTTGTCCCTGGGGCTCGTGGGGACTGCACGATGGCTGCCCCACTGGCCCCTTCTCTCCTGCCATCCTGGGGCCAGGGCTGCGGTTGCTGGACCGTGTGGTCATTGTGGCTGCGATGACTGGGCTTTGGGGCGTGGTCCCCTCGAGTCCCCCTTAAGGAGACACGTGCTGGGTGCTCTTCTGGGTCCCTCGTCCCTCATTTCACCTGCCGAGGGCCTGTCGTGTGCTGCCCTGGTCTCGGTCCCATGAAAGATGCCCAAAGGTGGCAAGACCTTCCCCTGCCTGCAGACAACACACAGGCTTAATCAGGGAAAGAGACTAGAAGCCACCAGTGCTCCACCTGGCGGATGAGGCTGGGGGCGTCCTGCATGGGGACACAGCTGAGGTGGGTGGGGTCAGCCTTGCACAGAGGAGGGGAGACCCTCACAGACAGGGCACAGCTGGCATCCAGCCAGCAAGTGTCCGTCCACCTACCGGCCCTGGGGAAACCTTGCAGCTTGGGAGGGTCTGACCCTGCTGGGTCCTGACGAGCCCCTGGTCCCTGTACTGAGTGGAGGTGGACCCTGCGATCCCCAGCCTGTGTCCCCGCCTCGGGCCTGTCGTGGGTGAGAGGGGTGCCCTGCACGGGGCTGGCTGTGCTGTGTGGCACGGAGGGGACCCTCAACGTGCCCCGTGTGACCTTCACTTCCAGTATCGCTCCATCAACCACCGCGTGGACGCCAGGTCTCTGTGGCTGTACCGACGGTACTACTCCAGCACGAGCCAGTGGTGAGAGCGCATGCGCGCGCCGCGGGCCTCCCGCAGCCGGGCCTGGGGAGGGGGCTGGTCTCGGGGGGCAGGCAGGCTCCCCTCCCCGCCGTCTCCCCTCCCCATCGGAGCAGAGCCCGGCCCCTCTGTGGTGAGGGTTCCTTTCCAGCACCTTCCGGCCAGCCACGGCAATTGAGCTGTGCGCCGGTACGTGTTATCTGACCACACACACGAGTGGCCACGGAGCAGGAAGTGTGGGCTCCGGCCTTTGGACCCTTCCCGGCGTCCCGCCTGCTCCTCTGCTTCTTTGGCCCCGGCGTGTGGCTGGTTCTTTTGCCTTTTGACCAGTTTCGGTCCCTTTTCCAGGACTCTGAGCTTCACCATTTTCTTGATCCTGGCTTTGGCTTTTATCGAGACCCCCTCGTCACTCACCAGCACCTCTGACGTGCGCTACCGCCCGGCCCCCTGGGAGCCGCCCTGCGGCCTGACCGAGGGCGTCGAGGCACTCTGCCTGCTGGTCTTCGTGGCCGACGTCTCCGTGAAGGTGAGGGGGCTGCACAGGTGCTGAGGTTGGGACCCGCGCCCTCCCGGCCCGGCTGCTGCTTCCTGGGTTTACTTTTCGCGCTCCTGGAGCAAGCTGCCTGTCCCACTGTGCGCCACGGAGCAGAGGCCTAGGCTGCCTCCTGGACAGCTCTCCCCCATCCCAGACCACCGATGGGGGCCGGCCGAGCCATCGGGGGCGCACAGCCTTGCAGGACCCTGGGAGAGAGTGGCCGAGGGTCCGGCAGTGCCTCTGTGGGGAGGGACCCCCGCTGAACAAGAGGGGACCGGGTGTCTCTCCATGGCCTACGCTCCCGCCCCGACAGAGGAGAAGCCTGGAGGGGAGGGGCTGCTGTCCCGCCCCCGGCCGTGTGCAGCTCTGGCTTCATGACGCAGGTCCTTCTAGAAGCTGGAGCTGGGCCATGCCTTGCTTGCGTGAGCTGAGCTGTGTCAGGGCTTCAGAGCTGTAGTGACTTCCCATTGAGACGCAGGGTGTACCACTGGCCACGCCTTCTGTCGCTTCTGACAAACAACAGTGATTCTGATTCCGTTGCTCCAGCCCCGGCCCACGTGCACGTCCACACCCTGCCTGCAGGGCGCCCCCTTGCGGGGTGGTTTGGCCTCTGTGGCCTGACTCGGAGGGGCGTGGGTGAGCGTTGATGCATGTGTGTGTGACTGAGGGCCCGGGCGGTTTCTTATTTCTTCTTTTTTAGCCTATCATGTGGTTAGGAGGTCTGGGGGTTTTTAAACTGGAAGTGAAACTGGGTAGAAGTTCTCATTAGCCTGTTTGGAATGGTTGGTCCATTTGGGAAGTCTCGAAAGGTGAGAGAGAGCACGTGTTTCATCTGCAAGCTGTGACCTCCGGCGGGGGTCAGTGATGGGAAAGGGCAGTTAGGTGCCCCGAACAGGTGACGAGCTCCCGCCTTCCCAAGGCGCGTCCCCTGCGCATCTGGTCAGATTCCTAGGCTTTTCCGGAACGATTCCTAGGCACAAGCTACAATGGTGGTTGGGTAGGCAACACAGGCAGGGACCCCGTTACCTGTGAGGACATGGGCGCAGCCGGTCAGTGCGGAGCCCAGGGTCACGGGCTGCCCAGGGTCACCCGCAGGCTGGGCGAGGACCGTGGGCCTTCTGACCATGGCTCAGCTTCCTGCTGTGAGTCCCGCGGGGACCGTGCTGCTCGCTGAGGCTGCCTAGCGCCCGCGTGCATCACAGGCCTCAGACCGGCTGCCCGGCCGGGGTCTGTGTGGCCACCCCCGGCTCAGCCGCGTCCCTCTTGCAGAGCTACCTGGTTGGGTGGGCCCAGTTTCGGAAGAACCCCTGGCTGCTGGCCTACCTCGTGGTGCTGCTCGTGTCTCTCGTGGACTGGACCGTGTCGCTGAGCCTCATTTGTCAGGAGGTAGGTGGCGAGGCGACTCTGAGGGGGGCGGCGGGGAGCTCTGGGGGTTGGGGGGACGCAGCTGCCCAGGGGAACGGTGGGCGGGAGTCCCGAGGCCCTGCATCCGTCCGGCCCACCTGCCCGGCTCTGCCCGCCCTCCAGAGCACGTCAGTCACCCACGGGCCAGGGAGCTTTGTCCCCATCTTGCAGATGAAGACACTGAGGCCTGGGGGAGGCGCAGGGCCCTGGGGGCGAGTTCTGGGGTTCCTGCCCTGCCTCAGCCTTGCTGACGACAGCATCTTTGTTCCCCCCGAACACCCAGAAGCATCGCCCTGTGATTTGATAGAGCAGAGCTGGAAGCAGTTGGTTTGGGGACATCCTGAGCCATCAGGGCTGGTCGGGGAAGCACCCGTCAGGTGCTTTAGTCGAGAGAATTTAACATCGGGCCTCAGACAGGGGATGAGCGAGCAAGAAATCTAGAAGGGGGCCCGGCGAGCACAGACCTGCAGGCGCAACCCCCCTGCCCCCCCAACCTGGGGCTAGGGGAGGAAACGAAGGAGATTGGGGTCATGGAACCTGGAAGCTCAGGGGAGGGGCTCCGAGAGCTGGGACCCTGCCCGCTGGGGACGGGGTGCTGGCTCCTCCAGGAGGCGCGACCACGATGCTGGTTCTGGGGGTGCCGGAGGAGGGGGACGCTGGATGTCCTGGGTGCTGCCGGCGGGAGCAGCAAGATGACGGGAGACAGCGGGCCCCCAGCCCGTGCCTCCCGCCTCCTTCCCGCTAGGCAGGGGCGGCCGATGAAGGAGAGGTGTCAGTGGCGGGTCCTGGCCCAGCTCACAGCAGGGCCGCAGGGCGGTGGAGGGCGCAGTGCCCCCTGCAGCCCCTGTGCCTCCGCCGTGGCCCTGTAGGAGCGCGACAGCACATGCTTCTCCCTGAGAAGGTGCTGCCATCTTCGTACCAAGGAGGAGGCCCTCACCCGCCCCAGAAGGCGGACAGACACCAGCCTGACCACCGCCGGCCCTACTTCTGAGTGACCGTCTCATGTCACCTGAGCATTTGTCACCTTAAGGCTGGACTGTGAACCTCAGCACCACCAAGGGGCCTTGCGTGAGATTAGGAAGGGGGGAGGGGAAAGGGGGCCACTGCTGGATACAGACCTGTGTCTGTGTAACTGGCCCGCAGGCCTTGTGTGGTTAGTGGCCCAGGAGCCCAGCTGCCCCCTGCCCCAGCCCCACATGCCTTGGGTCCCCTTGTACGGGGACCCAGACTGGCTTTTTATTACTGGAGTTTGGCGATAATTTTTCATGCTGGACGCAGCCCTCCCTGCCCCTCTGGGCAGCAACATCCCAATCTGTCCTTGGTAATTGGAGCTTTTTTGCCTGCACTGGCCCCCAGCCCTCTTTTCATGAACAGCTGTGGTCCAGCCCTGTGGGCCCAGCGTGCGTCCCTGGTAGAAGCATCTTGGGAGCAGATGCTTCCGGACCAGCAGGGCCCGGGATTGTGGGGTGGGGAGTGGTGTCGCTGCTCCCACTTTGTCCTAGTGCTCAGAGCCTCTGCTGGTTTTCCCACCCCACAAAGGGCTGTCCCCCTCACCCCCCCGCCCCACCTCAGGGCCACCAGGCCCTCCCACAGGCCAGCTGCTTCGGGGTAGGTCCGTGGTAAGGCTGGTGGGAGCTGTGGGCCGTGCCCAGGTTGGATGCAGCATTGGTCCCGAGGCTCAGACGGTGGTCCAGGGAGAGGCCTGGAGGGCAGGACAGGCAGAGCCCATAACCCCCGCCTGCATGTCCGCTGAGGACAGCTGAGGGCCTTGCTTGGGGAGGGGCTGGTGGGTCCCCGCGGGGGCCGCCTGGGGGCCGGCTCTGGGCTCTGCTTCTGGCAGAGTGGGCCCCCAGTAGTGGCCTGGGTGGGGGGGTCCATGTGGTTGGCCCCGGGCGTCACCCCCGTCCCTGCTCTGTGGCCACTTTGCCTGTGGCCTGTGGAGATCGGTGCGGGGTGGCCAGGGGAGAGGCTGAGGACGTCCACAGATGTGTCATCTGTCCAGAGAGCCTCCTCCTGCTGCCTCGTGGTGGGGGCACTCTGCCCACCCACACGTGTCCTCTCGGACGGTCTCGTCCCCAGACGCCCAGGCTGTTCTCTCCATGGCCCTGACCCCCTGGGAGTCATTACCTTTCTGGTCCGTACAGGGTGGACCCTGCCCTCTGTAAAGCTCCCCCTGTGGGACCGTCGCTAGGGGACTTTCCCGTGGAGGTTGTAACACCACACGCCGTCCACTTCTGGCTGGGACTGGCCCATCACCCAGAGCCGTCTGCACACCAAGCCCAAGGTGCTTCTCCGTGGCCAGCTGCTGGCCTTCAAGAGCTCCCCCGGCCTTGGGGCCTGCAGGAGGACCGGGGCCTCTGACCTGCTCCAGTCTGGTCTTCCCTGTCCTTTTGCACCCGATGGAGTCCTGCTTCCCCAGCCTTGTGGCTGGAGGGTCAGGTCACATGGTCTGCTGGTCAGCTGACAGGCTGTACTCGTGACTGCCGTGCCTGTTTCTCATAAGAGACTAGTTCTCTGCGGATTCGTTGGTAGCTTCTTTCTAAAGGCTCAGAGGCCTAGGCTGTGATTCTCAGTTGATTTAAGCCTCTTCAGGGGCTTAGCTGGCCCTGGGCCGGCTCTCCTTGCAGGCAGGTCACGTGGGAACGTCTTCCCACCCTTCACATGTGCTCCCTGCATCTGTGGCAGTGATGTGGCCCCAGCCGTCGGGGAGGTCCTCGGTGGGGTGGGTTGGGCGGGGTGATTGCATCTGGAAGAAGCCGTGCTCTGGTCTGTGTCTGACTGCAGGCGAGGGCCCAGCACCCGGGGAGTGGATGCGGCTGGACCTCTAGCTCCTGCTCGGCCTGGGGGACGGGCTAAAAGACTCCCGATATGGGCCCCGAGACTGGCGCTTTCGCCCAGGGGCAGCGAGCGGGTCGTGGGTGAGCTGGGGCCCTGGTCCCTCAGCCTGGGAGTGGGGCAGACCCCTGAGCCTCGCCCGTTCACCGCTGTTTCCTTCTCCCTTCTCAGTCCTGTCGGCAGCCGGGGCCCCTTCTGAGGGCGAGTGCAGCCTGGGGAGGCCGAGTGAGTCCTTGGGACGCTCACGCTGCAGACATTCTGAGGGCCTACTGTGCGCTGCTGCTGGCGGGGCCTCGTTCTGTTGTGAGAGGGGCTGATGGTACCAGGAAGCGCCAGATGTGTGCGGGGGGTGGGTATATCGAGGCGAGTGGCGAGAAGGAAGGTCGCCCATGCAGCGCTGGAGGTGGCACTGACGGCGGGACGGAAGGGCCCGGTGCGAGCAGCCCGCTGAGCGGGTGGGGGGGGGGCGGGGATGGCGGTGCTGAGTGCGGCGGCCAGTGGTACGGGGAGGGGTGGGTGCCCTGGGCCTCCAGGCAGCCCCGGAGGGCTGGGCCGGGAGGCGACTCTATCAGCCTCTCGTTTCTGAGACAAGACCTCCATTAGGACGCGTCTGGAGTGGAGAGCTTGGGTTGGAGATTGAAGGCGTTGTGACCCTTAAAATCCCAAGGACGGACATGTTCCCTGAGGCGCGAGGCCAGAGGGCGGGGAGGAGGGGCCGCAGGGCGTCCAGCGCTTGGTGGGCACAGAGGAGGCGGCCGGGCGCAGGGCGGGGCAGCTGCCCATCCTGGCAGGAGGATGGGAGGTGACCTTGGGCTCAGAGGCCTGGCGGTCACCGCGGTGGGTCCCCTGCCCTTGGACAGGAGGACAGGTTGGCTGGGGTGGGAGCGGGAAACAGGTGAACAAAGGGCGAGTGTCGTTTTGGTTGCGAGTGGCAGGTTGTGGAAACACGTGGTGTTTGTGTCCACGTGGGGGAGGGAGGAGGGCCCCTGAGGGGAGCCTCTGAGGGGCCGGGGTCCTGGGCACAGGAGGAGGGCTGTTTGGCTGTGACAGGAGGGAGGAGAGGAAGGAGTGTGTGTGTGTGTGTGTGTGTGTGTGTTCACGTGTGTGTGTGTGAGTGGAGGTGTGGGGTTCCTGCTCGGTTTCTGTGCACCTGTGCTGGAGGCTGAGGCCCGGAGCCGAGCAGAGGGGCTGGGGGCTGCGGAGAGGAGGCCTGAGGAGCCCCCAGAGGGCAGGACAGCGGCTTCACAGACACGTGCAGGGCGCCCGGCCGCGGCCAGAGTAGGAGCTGGGTGCCGGAGAGGCACGCTGGTCACCCCCCTTCCCCGGTGCTGGCGGGTCTGGGGGCTGGGGTTCTGAGCTGGGCCCCGGGAGGGAGTGGGGAGGGTGTTGAGCCTGTGGGGTCAAGGCCGGGCACGCTGGGAGCCCGCAGACAGCCGGGGCCGGGGCCGTCCTCGTGCAGAGCATCGGGCCTCTGGGCCCGCGTGCCGTCTGCCAGCCCGCAGTGGCTGTGCTCAGGGTCCCGGGTCCTGGTCTCTTCCAGCCCGTGCGGGTGCGCCGGCTTCTGCGCCCCTTCTTCCTGATGCAGAACTCCTCCATGATGAAGAAGACGCTCAAATGCATCAGGTGGTCGCTGCCAGAGATGGCCAGGTGGGCTCTGGTGTCAGGTGGGCTGGCAGAGCGGGGCGGGGGCTCCCCTCCCCTGATCTGGGGAGACCGGTGGGTGGGCATTTGGGGGTCTCTGTCTCACACTCAGGGCGGCCCCCTAAATGACCTTGCTTTGAGCCCCACCCCCTGCTCCATCCTGCGGCGCTTCTCACCTTGGCTCTGACCCCTCCCCTCCCCGCCATCCCCCACCCCACCCCCATGGCTCACGTGGATGACCCTTCCCCGTCCGGCCCGGGTTAATGGAAGTGGCCTTTCCCCTCTGAGAGTCCGGGGGTCCTGGGACACTGCCTCTCCTGGGCCCCTGGGACGCTCCCTGGGCGGAGGGCGGCAGGTCTGGGGCGGAGCAGGGACCCGGCCCAGGGCCTTGGCCGCGGGGAGGCCCCTGCGCGGCCAGGTCGGCTGTCCCGGAGCCCGCCCGGCGCTGAGTGCCGCTCTCGCCGCAGCGTTGGGCTGCTGCTGGCCGCCCACCTGTGCCTCTTCACCATGTTGGGAATGCTGCTCTTCCCCGGCGAGAAGGTACCGTGCTCTCTGCTCCCTGCGGGGTGATGGACAGCGCCGCCCCTAGCTAATCCGCCAGGTCGTTCTCGGGCGGCAGAGATGGGGACCAGGTTAGGCTGCCCACCCACCTCGCCACCAGGAGGTCAGCAGGGGCCCCCCTGGAGCCCAGGCGTCTTTCTTCAAGCGGCCGCGTCTCCAGGGCGTCTGGCTCCTCGGCTCTGCCTGGCCGCCTCTTCGTCCCCTTCCCAAGCCCCCCTCTCCTGGGCCGGTTGCTTGGCCAGGGCTGTACCTCACTTAGATGGAAGCCCCTCAGACTAGCCATCAGGATGGCTCCTCTCACCGCCCCTGCTCGCCTCTCCAGAGGGCATCTCCCACCACTTCCCTCCCCGCGTGGGCCCCCTTCCCTCCCAGCCCCTCACTGCTGCCCGGCCCCCAGCAGCTTGTTGTTGTGTGGAGGTGTCACCCGTGGGGCCTGCCTCGCATCTGCCGTCCCGTGTTCTTTCCTCGTGTCCCGGCCGGGGTCACCGTCCTCCTCAGGGCGGGGCTGTCGTGCGCCTCTGTCCTGGGATCCTTCCCGGTGCTTGGCCAGGGCTGGTCTGCAGTGAGGTCGTGGCAACACTTGGGGGTTGTGGCCGTGCTGCCCGTGAGGGAAGACGAAGACCATCCCTCAGACCCCCGGGGAGGAGTTCTGCTTCGCGCGTGCACGTGTGTGTGTGTGCGTGTGCGTGTCTCTGTATATCTCTGTGGGTGCTGTGTGTGTGTGTGCGTGTCTGGGTGTCGGGGCACCTAGGCTGTGAGGTGTGGGACTGGCTAACAGACTCTCAGGCCCCGCGTGTCTGTCCAGTGACCCTGCTGTTCGCGGAGCCCAGGACAGGGCGGGTGGGTGCACTGGGCGCGGGGGGCTGGGGTGGGCCTCTGACCTGGGAACGCTGAGGGTTCCAGGGTGTCTGCTAGGGGGCTGGCCCTTGGGCGGCAGCCGGGAGAGCGGCTTTGCAGGCTCCCCAAGTGATCAGGTGGTTCTGTGTGTCTGGGCGCCACGCCTTCCACCCACATGGGGTGGAAGGCACACGGCACGGTGTGTGGAGTCTGGCTGAGAGCGGGCTGGCTGGCCCCTGCGTGGGCCCTCTCTGCGTCTAGGCTGTGATGCTCTCTGCCAGGCTGGCCGAGAGCTGTTCACCCGCTGCAGTGGCTGGTGTCCGTGCGGGTGTGTGGCATCCCCGGACGCTGGCCCTCGGGCCCGGACGTCCTGCGTTAGGTCCTGTCCGGCCTCAAGCTCGGAGCCCGCTGGGAGGTGATGGGGAGGTGCGAGTCCGGGGCTGCTGAGCCTCGGTGGGTGGTTCTGGCTTGCTGGGTCCCGGGCCTGGGCTTTGGTGGCCTGAGGCCCGGGCGGCACCTCAGCGCTGCCACGTCTGTTCCACAGGACGACAGGCGGGACAGGCAGCGGCTGACCTACTTCCGCAACCTGCCCGAGGCTCTGACCTCCCTCCTGGTGTTGCTCACCACCGCCAACAACCCTGATGGTGCGTGACCCGGGGGGGTGGGGGGGTGGGGGGGGGGGGGGGGGGGTGGGGCTGGGCTAGGGGCCTGTTGGGGGGGGG